AAACTTATTTTTGTCCAAGGGCTTTACTCTTAGGCTCTTTTGGAAAACAGAAAGGATTTATTTGAAAATCAATATAAAATTTAACATGTCCTGAGAAATCCTTATGTTACTCTATTATGTCTATAAGCCTCTGTGCTTATCATCAATTCTCAGGAGGAATACGAAACAAAGCAAAACCAACACATACATACCAAAATTCTAAAGTAGTTTTCTGTAGCTAAAGTTTTCCTGTGTCCCACCTGGTCCATGGTCAGGGCAAATCTCTCTTACCTGCTGCTCCTGCAGCTGAGGTAACTTTACATCTTGCTTCTCATGGCATCGGCTGGCAGCGTCCTTACTCAGGCTTCCCCTTCCCAGAAGTCTCCTTGTCTGTTTGTCCTGTCTATACTATACTTACTGCCTGGCTACTGGCCAATCAGCATTTTATTTATCAATCAAATCAGAACAACACACATTCACAGCATACAGAAAGACATCCCCAGCAGATTTCTATAGGGTAGTTCTCCATTTTGTCTTAGACTTTACAGTACTTTGTCCTGAGACCTTCATATTCCTACCCAGAAGTCCCTGAGGGGTCTTCTCTGAATGTATGAAATCTAAGGATTTCTGGTGGTTCTGGGTTGTAGCATATTACCTGTGAGTTACCCTCAGAAGTGTGCTCTGAGATTCAGTAATGGATCCAGAGAGCAGCAAGCTCCTGATACAAAATTCATTGGTTTCAGGAGTCATACAACTCCTGAAAAATGTATCGTTCATATGTAGTCCAGCCCAGTTTCACAAGTGTTTGAACTGCACTTCCATAGATGGATCTGACTCACAACATTTTCTGTCCAATATGCTACTACTGAATATTGCTTGCAAACAACCACAGTTATCTTAGATATAATTGAACACTTTCTTGTTATATGATAACACTTATGTTCATAATTCAAATACACACACACACACACATTCACACATGCACACACATACCATCTTGCAGTACTTCACTTACCCTTATAATGGAATTATTCGTATGTGGTGGTGATCATATAGTATGCTATCAATTTATTTATTTTTATAGGTAGGCATCTGCTGAGCTCATTTGAACTGGGATAGTGAAAACAGAAACAGTCTTTAAAAGTTTGGCCTGTATAATGATATCTCTCTCTCTCTCTCTCTCTCTCTCTCTCTCTCTCTCTGTGTGTGTGTGTGTGTGTGTGTGTGTGTGTGTGTGTGTGTGTGTGTGTGTGTGTGTCTTTAAATACAAGTGGAAGAGAATGATGAAGGGGCAAAGCCTGTATGCCAAACTTATCAGACTGAGGATTGATACTGACAGTTCTTTTACCATCACCATCAATAAAGTACTGGCATTTTGCCCTTCAGACTTTTTGTTTTTAAAATATAAATGTGGAGCTCAGTGATTAAGAGCTCTTGCAGAGGACTCAGGTTCTATTTCCAGAACCCATATTAGTGAGTTCCAATAGATCTGACACCCTCTTCTGGCCTCTGTAGGCACTTAGGAGCTTGTGTGTGGAGCACACAGCCACACTCATTGTCAAATAAATAAATATTTAAAATACCAAATTTTGTTGACTTATGGTCTCATGTATTATGATGTTTAATTGGCATTGTAACTTGATTGCATTACAATCACTAGCAGACAAACTTTTGAGTCTGCCCGTGAAGGTGCTTCTAGACAGATTTACTCAAGATACAACTCAATTAGAATATGGTCAGTACCATGCCATGGAGTGAGTTCCCCTGGAGTGAATAAAAAAGAATGTGGAATACCAAATCAATATTAGCTTCCTCTATATCATGACCCTCAGGCTTGTGCCACCCTGCCTTCCCTGTGTGATAGATGGCACCCTCAAACCGAGAGCCCCCGCCCCCATCACTCCCTTCTTTGAGTTGCTTTTGGCAGATATTTCATCACAGTCAGGAGCCATATAACTAATACATATAAATATCCATCTCTTGGTGGGAGGTGAAGGATGGTCGTGGCCTGGTGGTTCCTGGTCAACCTGAAATTGACTAATGCCAACTTGACACTTGTGCTGGAGGTTAGAGCATGCCCTATTAACAGAGTAGTGGAGCCTTCGTTAACAAACTTTTGACATTATTAAGCACTGTGTCTTATCTTAACCCATCACAGTTTCAAGAAAGAGTTCCTTGAGAAGCAGTGTGGAGAAAAGCAGCCCCAAGGTCAGCAGCAGGAGGGAACTTTAAAAATGTATGAAAGTTCTATGATGAAATACGGAAATGCTTTGCTTTGTAGTCTAATAAAGAAATAAACAAGTACAGTGAATGGTACTATCCTCAATAAAAAACAAACAAATAAAACCCAAACCTGCTCTACCTGATGTACACAATCTTCCAAGTGAAACATTAACTGTTACTGTTGGTGACATACCTAAGTAGATTGCATTACTTTGTGAAAACAATGCAATGTTAACCTATGTAAAAGTGAAAACTGAAATAAGAACTTGTAAAAACTGTAGGTTGGAAGGACACATGATGCAATGTGATCATCACTGGCCAGCAATTCTTTGCTTAAATAGCAGTTACTCAAATCTACCTCATTCTGCAAATGATTTGGTCAGTGTTAAGAGCTTTGACAGGAAGACAGGTTGCTTTCTATTTGCAGTTACGTTTATTTTGTTTCATTGTTTATTGTTGCTTGGAGGTTTTTGTTATTGTTGTTTCAAGGACCATTTTCTACCAATTTTTTTGGTGGGGCTGGGGTTTTATAGAACAAATGTTCAGGGACACAGATACTTCCAAACAGTTTTTTTTTCCAATGCTAAACTCCTTTCCCACTGTGACTGGGAATGGAGACTGTGGTCTCCTGCATGCTGGCTCCAAAGACAAACTGGTGGTAGAAGTAGGTATTTCCATAATGTCTTCAGTAATGAAAAACAAAAGCACAGTATCATGATAGGAAAAAAAATGAAAAGCTCTGCTTGCCTCCTTACTGACTATTTAAGTCCAGAATTCATTTGGTCATATAATTTGATATTATATGTACCATTATCTCATAAAAATTATTTCTAAAATGCTTAATATTGAAAAAGCATAAACTTTCTATTTAATATGAAACAGAGATTATATGTGACTACAATTTTCACAAAATACTTTATGTGTGTCTGAATATGCTATGCGTTAGAGTTAAAAACATACATTATGTGTATATATTTAATAATCTAGTATGAATATTTCTAAAATATATAATATATTATGTAGAAACTGTTTATTATAGCAACAATTTAGCTAAAGTGATTTTTAAAAATTAAACTATGCAGTATACTGTTGAGAGGTATATACCATAAAATTATATTAGTGCAAATCAGGCAACTGATTGATATTAGCCTCCATAAGTGGGCTTATATCATAAAATTTATTTTCTTTTTACCCTAAAAGTGGGAACTATTAAATTTTTGTTTTATAGAATAATTTCAATTTATTAAAAAGTCTAAAATGTACTCCACTATGCAAGTATGGTTTTATTCATTTTATTTTTAATTATATGCATGAGGGGGATATGTGTATATGAATGCAGGTGTCCTCTGATGAATCAAACACATTGGAGCTAGAGTTACAGGGAGTTTGATCTACGAGACAGGTGCTGGGAACTGAACTCAGCTACTCTGCAAGAGCACTATGTGCTCTTAACAGCTGAAACATCTTCTTCGGTTCTTTAAAAAAATGTTTTTGAATACTCAATAGTATTTTTTAACAATACAAGGCTTTTGAAACAAGGTTATGAAAGACTAATGAAAAATGTATTAAATTCCCAGAACTTCTTACATCACACATGGTTTTTTTTGTTTGTTTGCTTTCACGTTGCTAAAAACTAGCTTTGCAATCAAGGAAAAAAAAATCCAGAGAGATAATAAATGTCACCTGGAAGAGCTGTCATATTCCTCCTCGGTTTCCCAAGTCTAATTTAGGATGTGTCACAATCAGGTAATATAGGAATCCTACACACTTCAAGTAAGCAGAAATATACTTTGATTAGTGGCATTCTACCTATCTATATTTATTTGAAAGGTTAAATTTTAGATGAGTAGAACAGATGTGCATTGTTGTATGATGACAAGAGGATTAAACTACTTTAATATAAAATTTCGATAAGTAAGCTATTATAAGTTTCGATAAGTAAGCTATTACAAAGAGAAATGTACTAAAAATTGTCCCCAATACCTATTTTGTGATAGGAAAACCCAAACTTTTAGAAAGGGGTTTTTATTCTTGTAATTGTTACTGCTTTCCAAATAGAACATCTAAGTGAATTAGCTGAAAGCCATAGGCTCAAGATTGCCTGAGTAAAGGAAAATTATATTATTCTGTATGATAAATATTTTGGAGAAATGTGCAGAGAATATAATGAAGAAAGTTATGTTTCTCATTAATTTTTATATAAAATTTCAATGTCTTAAAAAGTCTAAAACATACTCCAATATGCAAATGTAGTTCTATTTTGTTTCATTTTAATTATATGTGTATATATGTGGAGGGCTGTGAACATATAAATGCAGGTGTCCTCTGATGAATCAGACCCCACTGGAGCTGGAGTTTCAGGCAGTTTGACCTACCAGATCAACTGGGCCCTTGTCTTCAGAGTACAAGGCTCAGGAAAATTCCAAATTTTTCAAACAAAATATTCAATATTTGAAACAGGTAATTTCTTTCATATATATGTAATATTTATATGTATATTTCAGACCTATTATACTTGAGATTATTTTCCTTTTCTGGCATCATAATGCAAGAAGAATAATCCTAACACTGTGTCCTGAGAAGCTTGGCCTGTAGAAGTACAGAATTTAAAACAGTCATCTCCATTTTATATTATATATTGAAAAATATTTAATTGACTGCAGTTATCATGGGTGAATTCCTATATACAAATACCAATGTTTCATCTAAAGTCAATTACGTGTTTTAATTGAGAATGATTGAATTCAGCCTGTGACTGATATTTCTTTTGTTTTGTTTTTTTTGTTTTTTTGAAACAGGGTTTCTCTGTGCAGTTTTGGTGCCTGTCCTGGAACTCACTCTGTAGACCAGGCTAGCCTCAAAATCAGAGATCTGCCTGGCTCTGCCTCCTGAGTGCTGGGATGAGAGGTATGTGCTACCACTGCCTGGCTCTGTGACTGATTTCTGATAATCCATTTTCATACCACAACTAAATTTCTACGATGCATTCACAGGTTTGAACACATAGACTCTTTTCTGAACAATGAGGGATCACTGGTCTGTTGCCAGGAGCTGTTTGCTGCTCTCTGATCACCTCTCTGCATAGCAATGTACGACTGAGAGACCTCAGCACAAGAACTACCTCCCCCTCATCTAGATAAACAATTTTCCTGCGTCCATAGTGGCTTAATGCATGCGCCCCTCATAGCAAAGGAATTCGTTGAAAAGAAAATGCCTTTCTTTGGAAGTTTTAAATTACAACTTTAATTTAAAAATATGTAGATGAAGAAAGAATCACTAAGCTTTAAAATAGCTTCTAGGTTCAAACACTATTCTAACTTTACTTTCACACAATCTTTAAAAATCAACAGTTTTGCATTTTTAATATAATCACATTAATCCCACGAGATTGACTTTACTTCAACTCTTGTTCCATTTGTTATTTTACTATAATAACATTTAGGTCCGTTTCATTGTTTATTCATCTTAACAGATCCGTATCAAAAGGAAAACAGGTTTTAAAAAAAGAGAAAAGAAAAAGAAAAAGACATCCTTTAACATGACATGAATCACACTTGATGCTCTCAAGAATTTTATTAAGGCAAAAATTCAGGGTTAACTGTGACTTTCTGATAGAATACGATAACACTATCATTTGAGACTCCTTTTTCTGATATGAAAGCTCTTCATTCTCATTAGAATATCATTTTTCCTGAGAGAGACATTCCATACTGAAATAGAATTCTTGTAAGTGTTCGGGAATTTCTTACCCTTACACTCAAATAAGTACAGTTTTCCACATGTGACCAGGAGACAAAGTCAACAGCTGTCTTGGTGTGTGTCAAAAGAGGGCCACTGGGTCTGCGGAAGACAGAAAGTCAGGATGGAAGTGTTGCCATCAGGCTGTGGTTTGGAAGTCAGGTGTTGATTAAAAACTGAAGTGCACATTTGCATTTGATTTTGATTCCCCCTTTCAGAGCATGTTTTGATAACCTTAAGGCTCAAGAAGTACACTGCAGCAGAATGCTATGAACATGTGAAATGAGATTTTTATGGCTTGAAATCTTAAGTCTCTTTATTTTTACTGTGTTCATCATTATCAGAATATTCATCACCCCAACCATCTCTTCCGTATTGTCTCATTGAACTTACTACGTTATGATATATGTTTATTCATTTTTACATTGCTTATGATCTGCCTTTGCCCACCATCATAGAAATACCAACTTTCAGTCCTGTCTATTCTTTGATAAGTATATTTTTAATAATTTCCACAATTGTATCTGATGTCCAGGTAGTCAACGTGATATATTAAATAAATGACCAAGTATATGCACTAAAAATTTAAAAAGCACTAGAAATTGGTTACTTAATTTCTTTAAACATAGCATTTTTGTGTGTGTATAAAACCAGGAGTAATTAGGTTTACTCTAACTTATTTTTTTTAATTGATATATGTAATATTTGCTAAATGCATGTCTTTTGTTCAAAGTCTTGGAAAATAGTTTATCAAGTAAAACCATTCTGAAGAGATTAGACAACTTTCATAACTGATATAACTTCATTTTGCATTACATGATAGAACATAATTTATCAGGTGCTTGAAAACTTGTCATCTCGATTCCTCATTCCCTCTATTTCAGTACTTTGCTTCGATGCCACACTTCCTCATTAGAGTAAAAGGAAATTGTGTGTAACATATGAAAATGTGCAACTCTAAGCTCATTCAAGTGCCACCGATGTGTCTGAAATAAGCCCCTTGGTTTGTAATTCAAGGAATTAAGTGCCACTGTCCACTGGCGTGAATGCCAAATCCTATCACTGCTCATCTAGAGCAGATCTGACATAACCAATGGATCACTCCAGATCCCTTGACATGTAGTCCTCAAGTCACTCTTTCCTGAAGAGCTCTTGGAATCATTCTTCAGAGTGCTCCATTGTTGATAGCTCCAGGCTGCTGACATGAGAGCATGAAAAGTAGTTCCATGTTTGCTATAACCTGCTTCAAGCCCTCAGTTAGTTTAGGAGTAGCTAAGTCATCCCAGACACTCAAAGCAGCAAGGCAATTAGAATCTTACGTTTTGATTGTAATTTTCTCCCCTCTCTAAATTGTCAAATCCATTTTATAGGTGAGAATTTTAATTCAAGATGGACAGGGGGTTACAATAAAAACATGCAACTTTAGAGTATGAAAGACAAAACATAGAAGGAAAAGTACTTGGTTTTAACATTTTACTTTGGTGTTTAAAGATTACGCATTCATTGATCTTTCTGTTAACATTTCCCTTTTATTTTGATTGAAAACAGATTCTCGTCTCATACAATATAACCTGAGCACATTCTGCCTTCTCTCCGTTACTCCCAGGTGCCCCTCACCTCCTCTCTCTCCCTCAGATACACCCCTCCCCTCTCTCCCAGATACACCCCTCCCTTTTCCTTCAGAAAAGAGCAGTCCTCCAAGAGGTGGGATCCAAATAGGACAAAACAAAGTGCAGTAAGTCAAGGCAAGCATCCTCAGGTGGAGGCTGAACAAGGCAACCCGGCTGGACGAAAAGAGTCCCAAGAACAGGCGAAGAAGTCAGAGACAGATGTGCTCTTTCTGTTAGGAGTCTCACATGTAATCTCCTAATATCTTGTCTTCTATATTTATAAACAGTTAATAGATGAGAGAAATTTTAATAAAATTTGTAAAATTTAATAAAATTAAAGTTAAATATTAAACTAAATGCATGAAATAAAACCATTTTCTTGTAACACTTTTCTTCACTTCAGAATAAGTATTTAAGCAATAATAAATCTTTGAACTTAATATGAAAAAATATATATGGAGTAATGGTAAATTTACTTTACTTAAATAAACTGCTGTGACACTGCTTTTTATTCTTTCTTTGGGGATTATTTATTAATTTTTGGCACAAGGGATTGATTGAATCCCAAACCTAGAAAATGTTAGACAAGTGAATTCCCACTGGGCTATATTCCCAAATCCTTTCAAGTCTCTCTCTCTCTCTCTCTCTCTCTCTCTCTCTCTCTCTCTCTCTCTCTCTCTCTCTCTGTGTGTGTGTGTGTGTGTGTGTGTGTGTGTGTGTGTGTGTGTGTGTGTGAAGTCAAGGTTTCACCCTACTTCCCAGACTGGCACTGAGAATTTTCTGTAGCGCTGGCTAGCCTTGAACCCACAATTCTCCCTCTTATCCTCCTGAACTACCCTGTGTATACCATATGTCAAGGGTATCTCTTTAACTGTTTGATTATTATGTGATGTATCTGTTAATTTATACTTTCAACTTCAAGTGATTCCTGCGTTGAGTTGAAATAATTTTCTTACTTGACTATATTTAATTTTTTAAAATATCAACATTAAATCATTTAGCAGCAAGACCTATTTGTGATTATGAAACCTATTTTCATGGCAACTAATTGGGAGGGAAAGAATAATGTCAAAATACATCTTCCTTTTAAAAGTTTGTCCCATGGACTGAAAAGATAGTTACTTTTGACTGGTGATTGGGGGATACTTACTAGACTTCTAAGGTTCACAAGGGTGATGTTTTCTGTAGCAACTTTTTTTTAGCAGGATGGCAATGATCTGAAATGTAACAGTAGAATTATCTGGCTAAGTATCCTTACCCAACTTCCATTTTCCAATATCCCCAAGTGAAATTATACATATGGATACACATTAAGGTTGCAGTCCACCGTGTCTGGACAGCTCTCTGGGCTCCGTGCAAAATGGAAGATTCCTTTTCCAGTAGGACTTCCTCCAGACCTGGATATTGTCTCTAGGATTGGAGGCCTGACCCTATCTGGAAGCTGTCCCTAAGCCTGAATGCCTAACCTATCTCAAGGGAGGCCTTTGACACAGATTCCTGCAGACACTCTCGCCCTGCTGCCCATGTGATAATTCAGTTTTGTGCTCCCAGCTGTGTGGTAGGACAATGTTGCCAAACGCAAATTAATTAGGTGATGCCGGGGATGCTGTTCCCATCCTCTATATCTTCCCTCACTCTGGAATAAAAGTGAGCTGTTACATTGAAGCAGTCTCCTTGAAAGTTATTTCCATGGTACTCACAAGCCCTCTAAACTCTGTTGCCTGCTTCTGCTTCCTCCTCCCTCGTGGACTAGCTGCCAAAGATGCCAAGGAAGAGGGAGACCCACATGCCTATTCAATGCAACTTCTTACAAAGTCTTGAGGTCTGAGTTTTAGCCATTTGCCACTTAGTGAAAATGTCTGTGGAAGCCTGCCCACTCCAACTCTACACTCTGGATCCCTTCAGAACTCAGCCACCATTGCGTCTTCTTTGAGTTGCTGATTTGTAGCCTTATACTATCCTTTGCAATAAATGAGCAACAGTTTAGGTGGGATGCTTTCCTGAACCACCCTAACAAATTACTGAAGCTAGGGAAGGGTCAAAGGACCTTCTGATTTGGAGCCCTTCCAGTCAAAAGTTGTGGGTAATCTGAGTTCTGCCTGTGGGAGGGAGGTGTTGTAGGAGTGAGCTCTTGTCCTATGTGGTCTGAGCTCACAACAGTGCCACAGTTGAATTGAATTGTAAGATAAACCAGCTGGTGCAAGATGGTTGGTTGCTACAGAAAGAAAAATAAAAGATCCCCCATGCATCTTGTTTCGTAAGCAATAGTGTGAACAGAGAGAAAACTGCTCATTTTTCTCTCCCTTCTTCTCTCTCCCTCCCTCTCTCTTTCTCCCTCTCAAACCTCTTTTTTTCAGGAGAAAAGTGTGTATCAATCCAGACATTACTATATTACAGTGGTTTGCTGGCAAATAGCCTGAGGATTTGAAAGGAAAAAATATGCAAACAAACATTTGGAACCATTCAAATCATTTTGAAGGTTAAGTGCAGCCAAGGAGCATATATTATCCTCAGTCTAAAAGCAATCCTTTGTGTTCTACTTAGAAGTAACATTTGAAAGATGTGGCTAGGTATAGATGTTCTATTTTTGTTTTAAGTATTTGGACCAGTTTATAAGAATAAAGGAGAAATGAAGGTTATCACTGTTTTCAAAAAAGACTTTAAGTGGATACTAACTTATTTTTGTAATCGATAAAGAACAATGTTACTCTCAAAGGATTATAGAAATGAATTGTCCATATGGTTACATAGTAACAATATTCCTCTCTTTTTTTTCAAACTGTACTGATTTTTTACTGAATATAATGAAAGAAAGAAGATATGAAACCTAAAATGGAGAATCCTTATTAGCTTGAGTTTCTCTTTACTGTGGTGTTTGGGGCTGTTGTTTAATAGATACATAAACATATAGATGTTTGTATACACAACAAACTTTTCTAATTTTACACCAAGTACAAACCATTAGAATTTCAGAACAGGTAAACTATTTGCTAATTTCATGGTAAGTGAATTAATCTTATTGTTAAATCATTTTAAGATTCTTAGATCACTGGGTGTGAGTTTCAGAGGAAAACTATAGTGAAGAATTTTATCAAGTGTACATATTAAACTTAATTTTGTCAAAGCACATATATTCATGGAAGTGATATTTATTGGACAACACATTATTGGAAAGGTCTCTGTTCAAGGCCAATATTCCCCCAAACTGTTTTTTTTTTTTTTTTTTTGTTCAGGAAGATAAATGAAATGATAGCACCTGAGTTCAGGTTTTCTTTGTTTGACTATCACATTTAATCATGGTTACACAGTAGCACCGAAATCAGGACAAAATACAAGAATTACAAGAGAGATCTTAAATAATATGGGCTCATTGCATGCTTTGTAAGGATTCATTTCTGAGAAAAGAATTCCCATTGCCAAAATTTTGCTGTGTTTTCACTCAAAAGAAATAGACCCCGCCCAAACTAAACAAAAGAATACAATAGACTTATTTTTGAATAGATATGTTAACTACAGTTCATAGGAAGGAGTCCCTTTAAATAGAAAAATGTTTTGTTTGTTTTTTTTTTTTTACATAAAGCAAGATAAAGTACAAAAGCACAGCTTTTGTAATTTTGGTAATTTTGCAATTGTACAAACATATTGCATAGTATGTATAAGAAAATAGTTCCATTTTTCATATATCTATATATACAAGAAAACATTTACATGAAAGTTACAAAACAAAGTAAATGAGTAGTGGACCTGATTTAAAGAACTATAGAAATAAAGAAACAAACTCCAAGTTGTGGATCTCCACTGTTAGTAAATGTCCTTGCACATCTTTAACCCTGTTTGGCTTTTACTTACAAATAGTCAAACAAAATTTTTTTTTTAAGACGGGAGATCAAGAAAGAATCACAGTTCATTGTACCTCACACCCTTCAGTGTTTGTCCTTACTATCCGAAAGACTGACCCACATCAATTAACACTTAAAAAAATAGCCCTCCTGTTCTAGAAGTACTTCAAATTAATTATTATTTTCCAGAGATATTTTTTGGCAAGCAATGAAATTTTAAACCCAACTAAGTTAACCCATCCTGAGGCCGTTTTGGGTGTAGTCTTTATATCCTGGTTTTAAGAATACTGAGGCATTCATTACATGTATATAAAAATATGCAGAGCACACTACTGAAGTCTTCTTTCTAAAACTAAAGAAGTAACTAATGGCTGTAGCTCAGATTCCTGCAAGAAGCATGTTTACTTCCTTGTGTCATAACTATAACCCCTATTTATTTCAATAAATTAGTAGAAGCAATAGTGGTCTAGAGTTAAATACAACAGAATTTCTGGTCTTTGGTCTTTGACATTTCAATGATTACTAGGTTGCAGGTTAAAGCAATGTCTAAAAATGTGTCCAATGAGATCATTCATTAATTTATAATTGGAGATAAATGTGATATTATTTTCCTTGTTATAATGACATTCTGCATGAATCATTAGCATAATATATGCTAGTGTATGCAACAAATGACTTAATGAAGGGTCACATGAGCAATTGTAATGAGACCAAAGCTACAGGCAGATAAGGTACCAATACCTCAAATGTACAAAACTCAAAAATGAGTTTGGTGATGATGGTTGTATATAGAAGATTAGGCCATTAAATACCTTCAATTATAATTTAATGTGATATTGAAATTGTATGCTGTAAACAATAATTCTAACAGCATCAGATATTCTCCTGGCTATTGCTACCTTATGAAGAGCTACTACATTTACAATGATGAAGTCCATTAGAGATATTATTGTACCAATGGTGTGTTTGGAAAATGAAGAACTGTTGAATTGAGACATTAAAGTAGTAGTCTATGAAGGAATTTTGATAGGCATAAAAAGTTTAGTACTTGGCCATATTGATTTAAAAAACATATTTTTCAAATACCTAAGGTTTTGAGTTTGATGAAGATCAATAATAATAGAACAGAAAGCAGGTTGCTTATACATGGTGGTGTTATTTTGAAGTCCTAAAACAGGATTTAAAATAAGAGCCACAAGCATTCTTCTTCTTAATATCATCCATATCACAGAATACATCAATCAAACATGAATTCCCCAAAGGGAACTGATGTCCAATTGGTAAGAGCACAATCAGGTATAAGGAGAAAAATAATAGGATGCTGGGAAGATTTTCTTTTTGACATGGATGAACAGCTTTTTAAGGAGTAGATCATTGCAAATTCTAGCTTGGCAGAGTCTGATGAACTCAGAGAAGGTCATTAAACATCTTTAAAGAATCAGTGGAATTAAGAGATGGACATGATCAAAGAGAACACCTCACTTAATGTACCTTTCTTACAAAGAACTATACTGCAGCCAAAATGATTGAGTATTTCTAACACAATTAAAATCATTACATGCAGCCAGAACCCAATTCAGAATTCCTGCAAATATTTTCAAAGATCCAGGGCTGTATAGTCTAAGATTTGCAAATTGTAGTGTCACTGAATGTTGTTAGTGTCCAAACTCAGAGAAATGATTATTTTCCATATTGCAAAAATATGACTCACAATAAAAACCAAGACTAAGACCACAGTGCAGAATGTTGGAGATACTCGCCACATGGGCCACGAAATCCTAAAAGAGTATTTGTTTGGTGTTTAGTGTGTTTGGATTGTTTTGTGATTTTTTTAAATTTCATCACTGAAGAATTATGAACTCAAAGTAATAATGCATACTCTTTATATCTCTTTGAGCCCCAGAGACACTGAACTTGAAATGTATGTGCGTTTATCCATTTCTAGATCATGATTGAAATGCCAGCAGTTTTCCTTCTCCAATACCTCCGTTTCCCTCCTTGCCTGCAGGATCTAAACTAAATATGATGTTAAGATAGAGGTAACATCATGGCTGAGTAACGTTCATGCGGCACACCTAAGAGTAATATTTTTTCCTTGTGATTTAGAGAAGAGAGAATTTGCATCATTTAAATAAGCTACAGTGTGTGTGTGTGTGTGTGTGTGTGTGTGTGTGTGTGTGTGTGTGTGTGTGTGTGTTTGTGTGTGTGTGTGTGTGTGTTTATGAACATTTGGTCTCTAAAATTTAATTTGGAAAGCAAAGAATAAATTTGTTCTTCAGCTCCTGGAACTTTTTATTGTCAAGGAAACAATGATTCTCTGTTAGGAATTCAAAGACTTTAGATTTCATCTTCTAAGCCTCTAATAAAAGCTTAACCTTTGAGATTATTGTACCTGAAGAATCTACAAAAGTCAAGCCATCAATTCAAGTCATTTGTTTAGTATTGTAGAAGGAAGTCATCTATAGCATTCTGTCTTTTATATTTAACAAGTATTTGAACAACATTCTGAATGTCCCAAGTTTCTATGATATTTTCATGTCTGTACTTTTCAGAATATCATCAAGTTGAAAATTTTACCAGCCTTGTACATGTGTGTGTTTTGTTTTCTGTTTTATCTTTGAGACATGTTCTCTGAATAGCCCTGGCTATCCTGGATCTCCTTCTGCAGACCACACAGGCCCTAAACTCACAAAAAAATCTTCCTGTACTGCCTCCCAAGTGCTGGATGGAATTAAAAATGTGAGCCACCATTTCCAGCTTATAATTTGTGTCTTATCTCCTTTTTTCTCACCACCCTTCACTCTTGGCATCTTGTGATATGCATATAAATTCTCAGTGTTCCCTTTTACCTTTTGAAATATATGTTCTTAGAACATGTTAGTGCTTGAAAAAGCCTTCAGATGATGTTTGATTCGGTATTTTTGTTGTTTGTAAAGTGTTCATTTTAAGCTGAAGCCTGGAGAGAGTCTCAGATTGCCCAACTCAGCTTGATTGATTAGTAAAAGACTTTAGAAATAGGGAGGATTATGAATCACAGTCATTAATATCCTTTCATTAGGAAATTTTCTAATTGTTTTAATTTAGCATGGCTAAAACGCTGGTATGTCTCAAATTAATGCCCATTGTCTTCTTTACATAACACAGTGATCAGCATCCATGGCTCTCAAACTTTTTGTCTTAGACACTGTGAGACTCTTTTGTGAAGACTAATGTGTGAACTTCATATATTAAATTTTGTGAAAAATGAATTAAGCTCTTTGTTACGACTTTTCAAGCAATTATATATCTCAACTTTTATTTTGATTTTAATTTACAGACTTATATAATAACCCCGAAGAGCCGGGCGGTGGTGGCGCACGCCTTTAATCCCAGCACTCGGGAGGCAGAGCCAGGCGGATCTCTGTGAGTTCGAGGCCAGCCTGGGCTACCAAGTGAGTTCCAGGAAAGGCGCAAAGCTACACAGAGAAACCCTGTCTCGAAAAACCAAAAATAATAATAATAATAATAATAATAATAATAATAATAATAACCCCGAAGAACAAGTCCAATACTACTTTAAAAACGATCCAAGTGAAATACCTTACAGAGACTTCTGCAGAATGTGGAATGTGCTCAGTGATAGGGAGCTTTGCCTGTTATTAGAAGTGCTAGGAACCCGAACGAGATAACTTTGGACAAAGAGGTTACTTTGCCGGTTGCATTACCCAATTTTCTAATATTTGCTAACCAAATTATATCAACATGTTTCAATCTTTTGCTTCATTCTCAGCTACAGAGGACAGAATTTCAAAGATTCTGCCATCACAGAGCCCTAAAGTGCAGCTTCCACACAGCTGTTAATGGTGTGCACAGGTGCCAGGTGGGAATGATGAGACAATTAAAGACTTACCTTGTAGTCATCAAGTCACGTTCCCAAACTAGGAAATCTAAAATACAAGTTTACATTCTTGTATTCTGTCGGTTTCAATAATTTGAGATTAAGAGTACTGTAATGAACAAATCTATAATTTTCTGGAATTATTTATTGGGAACTCAGTAACAAAAATAAACAGCGGAGAATGGAAAGAGCTACGGTTCATGATGTCATGGTAACTTAACAGTCTAATAGAAGTGACTAAATGTTAACAGTCAAAGAACAGAGGCGTGACTAGATTCCTAAACGGAGAAAGCACTCATCCAACACTCTGCTGAACCCTTGTCTTTTTACCATTTCCTTTTCTGGAATTTATAATTTAATTTCTAACCTTCTTAAATATGAACCTGAAATTAAAAGAAGGATACTTAATTTGAAGTTGATGTCCCTGTGGAAAGTGAACCCGTTCTCAGCATTATGCATAACATTAGCATTTAATTAGAGGCTGGTTTAACTTTAGCAGTTAAAAATCGAGTTTAATGTAAATGGAGCAAACAAAAGAGTATTATTAAAACCTAAGGGTAAAGGACACCATGTGAATTATTAACGAAATAACTGATGGGTTCCACACTGTAAGTATATCCCTCCTATCTTATATTGCAATTGTTCCGATGTTTTGTTAAAAGCAAATGTGTCACATGCAATAGCCACATAAATAGAAGGCCATCCAGATCTGACAAATGAGAGCATAATGGTATTTTTGTTAATTTTGTAAAGATTATATTGCTGAGCGCTTTTAAAATTATCTAATGTACAAAATTCCAGGCTTAGTAGACAAAGAGTACCAACACACTGAATTTAAAGAAACAAAAACAACTCAGGGACTCTGTCTTGTCTTGTTTCATTTAGTTAAAAACCATGTATTGAATTTAATTTTTTAGTAAAGCAAGCATTACATAATGCTTCAAAATTTTAAAATTCGGGGATAAAAGTTTACGTCCAAAAAAGATGAATGGAAAATTGTGCTTTCGGACTGCAGAATTAGTCTTCTGACGGGGGTCAGCGTTTCATGTCACCATTGGATTTGGGAATTTCATCTGGTAATGTGTTCGTGCGCAGTTCGTAGCCAGGTTCTGCAAAAATCTAAAACTGTGTGCTTCACTCCGCGTAGCAAAGGCACCTAAGTTATTCTCCTTTTCGAGCAAATGTCATGATCCAGGTTTCCTGCTGGAGATGCTTCTCCCACGGCCGAGTCAGTCACACTGTGTTGAGTCAGGTGAATCAGGAGAAGGTGGGCGCCAATCCCTGCTGATCCTGGACAAGTTTGCTCTGTGGTCCATCTGAAGAAGCTCTGCACTGATCACACGGGAAAACGAGCAAAACTGTGAAGCAGACGGACGGGAACAAAAGGCTATTCTGGTGTGAGGAGAAATCAGTCGCTTCAGCTCCACAAGCAAATGCTGCTACTGGACTGACAGGTGGAGCCTACTCCAGCTGGAGAAAGATAGAGTTTGCCATTGGGGCAGACACACAGTTCATACACTGTCTGTCGAGAAGTTGAGGAGCTGGGTGAAGAAGAGAAGGAACCGGTTGGTAGATTTCCTAGCCGGATTGTATCTGCATTTAGAAAAATCTAGGAAGAAAGGAAAAAACAAATCTCAATTTGTTTTCAGCATGGTACCTCCCTCAGAACGTTGCAACTTGGTTTGTCATGGAGTTATGAACAGGTTACAAGTCTGTGTGCCATTTAAAACCTTTGCTGCGGTCTCCACTTTAAGAGTCAGAGTTCGGAGAGCAACTGTTCAACATGAAAGGCAGTACTGAGTAATTTGCTCATGGAGCCAACAGTTACTAAAAACAATAAGAACAATAGAAAGAGAAGAGAAGAGAAGAGGAGAGAGAGAGAGAGAGAGAGAGAGAGAGAGAGAGAGAGAGAGAGAGAGAGAGAGAGAGAGAGAGAGAGAGAGAGAGAATGAATACCAGTTGGGCTGATATTAATGAAGAGGGAGGGAATTAATTAAAAATATACTCCTTCACCTGTTTTTTAATCTTTGTGAAAGAATGAGTAAAGTCATTTCTAAAACAAAGTCTCACAGTCTAAAGATCAGGTGATGTAGGAAATCATGAGAACTAAGAGATAATTCTACATATTATTATGCTTGAATTCTCTATTAAATGTTACTGGTTTCAGCAACTAATTTTCTAATTTTTCAATTTGGGGAGTTACTTCCCTTATTTAAGTATTTCTATTACACTGATTATTTTGTGTGTGTGTGTGTGTGTGTGTGTGTGTGTGTGTGTGTGTGTGTGTACTAGTGTGCATGTCAGAGGACACTAACCAAAGTTGGTTCTTACCTTCCACCCTCTGGTCCTCGGGATGAACTCAGGTCATCAGACTTTGCAGCATGTGCCTTTACCTATCATGCTATCTCATTGACTCTTAACTTATTCTGAATTATAGACTCCCAAAGTTGACAGGAGGATGAGAGAGTGCTCAATTCTCTCCTTTCTTTACCTTGTTATTTCTTTTTTTTTTTTTTTTTTTTTTTTTTTTTTTTTTTTTTTTTTTTGGTTTTTCGAGACAGGGTTTCTCTGTGTAGCTTTGCGCCTTTCCTGGGACTCACTTGGTAGCCCAGGCTGGCCTCGAACTCACAGAGATCCGCCTGGCTCTGCCTCCCGAGTGCTGGGATTAAAGGCGTGCGCCACCACTTAATAGTACTTCTGTTGCAGGCTTTGAGGCCATCCACATCCATTTTGTACTCTCCTTGTCTATTCATCACATTGTTAGGGTGAACTTTAAAGAAATGTAAATTGAACAATGTTTCTCTAATACTCAAAGCTCTTTTATAGTTTCCCTCTCATTTCAAATAAAAACGGATTCCCCCCGAGGCCATATATCTTGCATGATCTGCCCTATTCCCCTAACATCATCAGCTGTAGCTCATCTTGCTCATATTGTGTATTTCCTATGACTTAAGCAAAGCACATGTTTCAGAACTGTTTTATATTTTATTCTCTCAGTGTGGGGAATTTGTTTTACATACTTACAAGTTTATATATATATATATATATATATATATATATATATATATATATATATATATATATATATACACACACACACACACACACACACACACACTATATGCTTAAGGAATATCTTCACTCATGTAAAGGGGATATTTTCATTAATAAGTCCATTCACATTGGCTGCTTTCATTTCTTTCATTCAGAAAGTTGGCAGGAAGTTAAGAAAACTGAGATATTGAATGAGAACACCAAATGTCTGAGCCTCTCCAGGTTGCAGCAGTGATGGGCTTGCCCACCTCTTTCTCTTTTGCCAAGGCAGTTACAGTGATGTTGTTCACTTTCCAACTTCTGAAATTGGTATATCTGCTCTGTATTGCCCCATAAACAACATAATCCATCTGCTCTGAAACTCAATCCTGTCACTAGAATGGTATCCCCAAGCTTTGAATTCCACACTCCCCATCTTCTCTCTAACAAGAACTCATTTATCTCATTCATACCTGTTGAAATCAGTGGTATTTGTCTCTTTGAAAATGCTAATCAAATTTTTGAATATAAAGTCTCCCTCACCAATATTCCAGCATGTATACTGTTGTGTGTTATAGCCCTGTGGATATAGTCATATCACTATAACCCTTCATTTACAGTTATGACTCTTGTTTCCTTCAATGCCAAATTGGAAGTTCCTTGTAGCATTGAATCTAAAATGGCATTGATTGTCCACAGCACAACCTTGGATTTTCAGTACAATTCATTTCTCTTCATTTTAACTACTATGTGTAATGCCTGAATGCAGTATCTTCATTTCAACTACTATGTGTAATGCAGTATATTATTTTGAATAAAAACAGACCAGAAAATTAAAAAAAAATACTCAGAGTCTCACTACTTAGTAAAATCTACCACTAACCTTTTCCATATAGTATCAGATGGAGTTTAGACTCCATCTGAATGTTGGAACTTTTGTTTTTAATAGTGATCATTTCTCCTTTTGTGGTGTAGTTATTGTAGAACACAGAAATGAACAAACATACCAACATCGAAGTACTTTGGCAAAAACATTTCCCTTCTTTTGAATGAATTGTAATTAGATATATAAAAGTATAAAAAATGTAGGTTAGTGGATGCTTACAATTTTCAACATATGCATGCAATGTATAATATTTAAATCAGGTTCACTATATTTAGCTACTCAGAGAATTATTTATTTTTTTTATGGTGAAAACCTTCCAAATTTTGTCTCCAAGCCTTCTGAAATGTCTACATCATTATTGTTGTCTATAGTGGCCCATTTGGGCAACAGCAATGTATCCAAAATTCTTGTTCCTCTCTGACTCAAACCTACCATTCAAACAGATTAATCTATTGAAGAAACATTCTGAAGATCCACAGAGAAAAGTAAAAAGGGGCCGTTTTTCATTTTAATGTTTAAAGCTGATATTGAAGCAACAAGAATGTGGAGGCCTGTTTCAAACTGTCCTGGGAATGAATACTTTTCAGTAGAAAGTAATAGCTGCTTGATAAATCCCATAATTAAGAGGATTCAAGATTTCCCAGGTTTGCAATTTCTCATGAAGTGGCTCCTTGTGACTTGTGGAACCTGATGCATAAGAAAGACATGTAAAACAGCAGCTTCAGCATCTGAGGGTCAGCATGGACACTCACCTCCCCTTCTGTAGACTGCAAGTGCAGTTCCTTCCTGCAGGCAGCCTTGAAGTCACCTGCAGCTGCGCTCACCTGGACCCCTCGTGGAGCTTCCATTATCAAGGATCTGGTTGGTGATTCAAGCCTAAAGGAAGGCAAAGTATCATTTACAAACGAGAGAAAACTTATAATGAACTGGAAAAAAGGCATTAGGATTTAACTAATCTTTACACAAAGCCAGCATAAATCCACATCCTCACAATGTATTACAAGGATTACAAGCCCAGTTAAGTTTTAGGATATTTTTCATTACTTTATCATTTTTTTGGCTCATTATAAAATCTTCATTTGTTCTTATCAATTATTTACTCTCATATATAATAATTTAATAACATTTTCTTATGGTAGTTCTCTTTATCACGCTCCAAAAGTAGGTCATTATGAGTTTACATGTTTAAATCTTTAATATATTATCAATATTAATGATGAAGTTTTAATAAATAAATTGGCATAATTTAGCATGCACATATTTTTCAATAAAGAGTTCCAACTTTGTATGAGAACCTTAATGAAAATCATTAATATTGCAATCCTTCAAGAGTGCACCCTCAAAATTTTGTGAACTTGAAAATTTTCAAAAGGTGCATTAAAAAATTTGGAAGTTAGCATAACAAAGATCACCATTTTACATGTTGAATGACCTTCATTGGTTCATTGCAATGACCCCAGACTAAATGACTCCATTTGCAGAAGAAGGAAATCAGCGGACAACAGAATGCAAGCTATAAAATCCCTAGCATGAAAACTGGTGGACACCAGCTGGTCTTTGGGGGGCATGCTCTTCTGTTGCTGATGCAGCTGCTTTGCTTGTTTTCATCATAGGACATCAGGAAGAGGCTTCCCTCAGTCTTACTGTCACCAAGTTCCAGAGTCACTGCTTTCCTCTGAGACAAGATCCAGAGCTGTTTTGCAGAAAGAACTCCAAGCAACGGGTCTCTGAAATGCAAGCACTCAATAGAGGAACCACATTTGCAGCCTTGAAGGTGGCATCCAAGAGGAGAATCATAATTAAGAAGTGATTTCAATAATTGTAAATCTTGGCCTTATTCCACCGTCATTAATAAAAACAACTTTGAAACTTTTACCTCTATTGATCACTTGAACATCTTCATAGCATTCCTGGAGCTGAAAAGCTATACAAATACCTGTTTTTAAGCTATGCCTATATATTATTTTGAATAAAAACAGACCAGAAAATTAAAAAAAATACTCAGAGTCTCACTACTTAGTAAAATCTACCACTAACCTTTTCCATATAGTATCAAAAATTAAAAATCTGAATTTTGAAATTGTATTTTATAACCCTTATACAATATACAATACTGCCTTGAGTAGTATAACTGTGGTCAATGCCATCTTAGTGTTTTGTTGGATAACAATAACTTTATAATTGTTGTTATTAACAACAACAACATTATTGAAATCACTCATGATTGATATGATTGAATCATTTGAATAACAGTCAGATAAGAACGTTTAAAAAATAAATTAATAACTTAAGACAAATTATATATTTTTTATTCATCTATTTACTTTAATCCCAGCCACAGCCTCCCCGCATCCTCCCCTCCTGGCCCCTACCCCTACCCCCCCTACTTCCATCCTCCAATCCCCTCCCTCTTCCATCTCCATCCAGAAAAGGGCAGATCTCCCATGAGTATCAATAAAACATGGCATATCAAATTGCAATAAGACTGACCACCTCTCCTTGTATTAAGGCTGGGTGAGGCAACCAAATATGAGGGGTAGGGTTCCAAAAGCCAGTATATAACTCCAATATTCATAAAAGGTAACTTGGCACATATATAAGTAAAGGGAAAAACAAACTAATTTTACCCAGTAATCAACATGATTCAACTTATTTCTGAAGAGTCAAGCTTATTTCTCATATATTTGATAGCCAATTGCTCATATAAGATTTGCAAAGGTTTCATTTATGCTGTGTTTGACATTTAGTAAAATAACATTAAACACATTAAGTATGCTGAGTGTTTGAGATTTTCTAATTTGATCTTTATCAAATGATTAATTAGGAAATGCTAGCTATATTGTATTTATTTTATGCATCAGATACTCATGGTCAAACTGTACTAGAGTAGTATTGATTTAAAGGCTCTGTGTCCAAAATATGTAAAGCTCAGGGTGTTCAGCCAGAGATAATGTCTCAATTTTATCTGCTCTGAATTGACAATTACCATTTCCTCTGCGAACTGAGCAAAGCCACACCTGAGCTAAAGATTCTGTTAATCTGATTGACTTATTAGCGCTTCCATGATGGTAGAAAGTAGGAATGTTACTGATCCAGAGTTCAATTATCTTGGGCTGTCTTTTACTCCCTTAGTGGCTACTCACCTAACACCATTGTGACTATCAAGTGCATCATTTTGGAATTGCCTCATTTTCCAGCAACACCCAAATTCCAAACAAAGAATACCATCAGAAGCATCTCAAACCTGTGACAGAAATGTCCCCCCTCTGCTGCACCTATGAGACTGAGCCTTTCACCGAGGGTATTTGAAAAGTGCTTCTAATTTCTTTTCTTCATTAACAACAACAACAACACAACAACAACAACAAAACCATTTCCACATTAAACTATGGATTTTGGAGGAAGTCTGAGTCCATATTCTCAGGCCATAGTCACTCATATTTGGCTCGGAAATGTATTTTCTTTGAGGTGAGAATTGAGTTTTGTTTCGTTGCTGTAAAATTTCAGTAACATGATATGTGTCAGAGTGTGATAGCATGTGGTAGGACAATACTTTGTGTTCTCTCTCTCTCTCTCTCTCTCTCTCTCTCTCTCTCTCTCTCTCTCTCTCTCTCTCTCTCTCTGTGTGTGTGTGTGTGTGTGTGTGTGTGTGTGTCCCCATTTTCCTCAAATCCCTCTCCCATGACCACCTATTTGTTGCTCATATACTTGTTGACAAGAATGCCATCACATATGACAGAAACTGATCAAAATCATTTGGATTGCCTAAACTTAAAGACATTTGGAAAAACCAGAGCCATTTTGCTGTAGTGGAAATCGTTTTGAACATAAGTGAAAACACCAGAAGGAGGAAGGAAATGGACAATAATTGTTTACTTCTACCTCTTAAAGAACTGCTTGCTTGATTCATAGAACAGGTAGACACAGATGGAAATTAACAGTTTAAAGAATTCTCTATGTTCCACTTCCTGACATCAATCATGAATAGTGGGATGCCGGAGGTAGATTTCTCAGAATAATTGCGGGTACAAGCATCAAAGTACAAAAACCCAGCAGTAATGCATGGTGAATGAAGTGTGAGGGAATATTGGGAACCTTTTAACAGATGAGAGCTCGGATCTCTGAGACATCCATTGACCAAATACCAATATAAATGCTTCAGTGCTGAGCAAGCTCTTTGGTTCAGTGACTCAAGACTGGGGAAAATAAATCAGATTCTCTGAACTTAGTTTCTAATACTCAATGCATGAAGTTCAAACTTGCAAATTATGTTTTATGAGAATATTTTTATTTTATCTGAAACGAGACTTTTTCTGAAAATATGTAATTGCTAAATACTTGTATTTATGAATTGCCTGCTATGTACAAGCATTACCAAAATTGTAGAAACTTTATACTACTGCAAAATTCCTTAAGTGCTGAGGTAATTAAGACTTTGAATTAAATAAGCCTCAGTCGTATACTTTGCTAGTATTGGTGTAATAAAATGTGATAATTATAAAAAAAAATTCAAGTGTTATTAAAATAGCACATTCTGTTTTGAATAATAAGCAATACTCAGACAAGCAATACACACAAATAATTTTAAAAGAGAATTTAGTTAAAGAGTATGTGTAATAAAACTTACTAGACTAGTTGGAGGATTTCTTACATTTTTAGTTTAATGTTGAACAAAGTAAGTGGCATTCATCACGTATTTCTTAAGCACATGAAAACTGAAGCAATCTGAAGCATTTTGATAAGTTTTTCTGACTACTTAGTGTAATTTTTTTCATGGGAAAAAACATCATGTAATAACATATTAACCTGGTGTATACATGGTTCCAGAATCAAAACTTTCCTAACTTTACCACTGGCATTTTTGTGAACTGGAAGGTTTCATTTTTAGCAATTAGAGATGCAGATTATCTGAGTTATCTACCTTCAGCATTTATAATGACCAATAGGGGCATGGACTTTAACTGGAGTAGGACATTGTCTCTCGTATCGTGTGTTGAATGGGTAAGAAGCCACCTCTTCACACAAACATTATACCCACAGGGTGTTGTCCCTCAGGTATACCACAAGAGGATTAAAATTTTTCATATGTGGACAATAATAAGACAAATTTTATACTTACTCAAAAGTTTTATCACACTTTTAAAAGGCATTAGAATCCTTGCAGAGTCCACAAACTACATTATTGAACAAACATATTTAGACAAAGTTTCCAAGATTTGAAGTAAGAAGCACTGTAACTAGCCTTGACAACTTATCAAAATAGGTTGGACATTGTGTAATTATGCATTTGATTCATATTAATATTTCCAAGGCACTTATTAGAAGCTAGTGCTTCTAGGAGCTATGATACAAACTTCAGGATAATAGAATGACATCCCTTACTTTGAACATGCTGCTGCAAAGTCTTTCATTGTGCCAATTACTCCCAAAGAGCAACAAAGTAGCAAATCGAAGTATAAGCTACTCAAACCAAATTACTATGTGCAAAAGCCATATCAATCTAATGAATGAATTCAACACAGGAATTGAAATAAGAAACTACGAATTTTCTCTACTTCAAATATCAATTGCTGTTATACTTTCTAGTGATCAGCCATCTACTCATAGTTTAAAGCATTTTCAAAAACGGAATGTTACAGTCCTCACAATACGTAGTTAGAGTTTTGTCTTCTATAATAATTACAGTAACGTAATATGAACTAACTTCCAATACTGGAACATTGCTATATAGTTAAACTACAATTATTACACCCATACTAAAATTGGATGCTCTAATTATCCATATGGTACCTATAATATACATTATTATAACTTAAATATTACAGTGGTTGCTTCATTTCCTCTGGGTTATGCTGCTAGTGCAACCATCCCTAAGT